ATAGTAGCAATAATAGATTTACAATTTTATATTAATATAGTTTATTGTACAAAGTCAAAATAAGCAGTTAACAGCCAACATTCTACTTTGACTGCCAAAAATACTAACAACAAGGACAAATCATTGTCCTTGACAAATCATTGATTCTGACTTAAGTGCAATGAGCAATAAAAATAATAATGAGTTTTTATGGGCTATACCGTACGGTTGGTAAATTTCATGGGGCATTAATTTTCGTTAATTTTGTTGTTAATTTTTATCCATGAAATTTTAACCCTTACCCACCCACACATAAAAACTAATTAACGGGCCATGCAGAGCTCTAACTACCATTTCCAAGCCAGTGGAGTAGGCTCATGCAGATTATGCTCACTAATGCTTAAATTATTTGATGCAGCATTGCTCATAAAATGTCATGATTATTCTTCAAAAATAGTACATTATGCTCTCAATTATGCTTTAAAACCAACCAAAACTATACATTATCATAGCAAAAATTAATTAATTGATGTATTAATGCATGGTCTGAAGGTGCAGTAGAAGTAAAAACTCAAGAAAATTCTGTTGATTTCCAAGGGTACTTTTAAAATTCAAAAAGACTGCAGCTAAAAAACAATTCAGACATCTCAGTGATCTCTGTAACCATTAAATTCAGTATATTTTGCCTTTTATGCTAGTAATTTCCGGATATTTCCCAATTATGCTAGCATAATTCTTGTATTCTTCTACCTAGTTATTATGCTCATTTTTATGCCAGCATAATCTGCACCTCCCTACAGTGGAGGAGCCAGAGTCTTTGTCTATTACTCTATATTCTACTATGAGCCATGTGTTGGAAGCTAGTGCTGTAGATCCAAGTGAAAATAAGTTTGCTAACTGCCATCCACGAATATTTGTACCCACGAATATTAGCTTCTAAGGACATTTTGGAGAAAACACGAAATTTTGGACCCTCGAATATTACCAACCGTACATTTTCTGATACATATTGATGTCTTTATGCTGTGTAGAAAGTTTGAGCTGATTTCCACTTCAATTTTTCAAGTTACGACCATTTTAAGAAAATGCCAAAATTCTGACAAATACCCAAGGCTATATAGCCCATGGTTTTTTTCAAAAAATGGCTCCAAAATCACCCCAAATTTTTATTACATTTTCTGATACAAATTGATGTCCTCATGCTGTGTAAAAAGTTTGAGCTGATTCCAACAAATTTTTTTTGAATTATGGCTATTTTAAGAAAACACCAAAATTCTGAAAAATACCCAAGGTTATAGCCCATGGTTCTTCCCAAAAAATGGCTTCGAAATTACCCCAAATTTTTACTACATTTTCTAATACATATTGATGTCCTTATGCTGTGTAGAAAGTTTGAGGTGATTCTGACTTCAATTTTTCAAGTTATGGCTATTTTAAGAAAACACCAAAATTTTGAAAGATACCCAAGGCTATAGCCCATGGTTTTTTCCAAAAAATGGTTCCAAGATCACCCCAAATTTTTATTACATTTTCTGATACATAGTGATGTCCTTATGCTG